GCTACAGCTGGCAGAGACCTGTGCACATGACGCGGTGACATGTATGTGCACTCACATACTACTACTACTACTACTACTACTACTACTACTACTGGCAGCGCATCCAGCATCACGATAGATCTGACTGAGCTGGACTGAAGATTTCTGCTGGCATATCGGAGTCAGGGCAGAGCAGCTGCTCAGTTTTGGTGAAGGAGATGGCTTCAGCGACACTGCTTCGAGTTTACGATTAGGAGTCAGTGCTAGAAGGATCTCCAATGGGAGATGCAGCCAACAGAGCTGCCGGGCTATGCCTGCCTTTCGTCGAATCATCGGGATCGGTGCGACGTGTGCAATGCAATACTACTACTACTACTACTACAATGCTATTACTATTACTGTTGTTTGTACTATTATTATTGGTACTGTTTGCAATTACTACTGCTAGTAGTACTACAAGTACAATTACCATTACGAATGCTATTGCTGTTACGATTACTACAGCTATTGCTCTTTCTATCGCTATTACTATTATTGTTGTTACTACTGTTACTATTCAAGTACGATTATCACTGCTATGACTACGACAAGAATTGTTATCATGATAACAACTACTATTATTGGTATTATCACTATTACCATTATTATTACTATTGCATTTATTTGACTAGTTATAAATAACTATTGCTACTAATATTACCATTACGATTGTTAATACCAGTACAATAACTGATTACTGTGTTTATTTTATTGCTATTACTGTTGCTTGTGATTACTATATCTATTCTTGGTACCGTTTGCTATTATGATTATTGTTATTATTATTGATATTATTATTATTAATATTACTCTTACTATTAGTTAGTATTACTATTACGACTACCAATACTATTACTCCTACTACTTCTACTTCAGCTGTGCTGAATTTTCGCACTGTTCGCGTTTTCGCGTTTTCGTGAGTTTCGCGTTGTTCGCGTTTTTCGCGCGCTTCGTGTTTTTCGCGTCGTTCGCGTTGTTCGCGTCCAGCTCCTCGCTTCCGCTTAGCTGAGACACACAGAAGCCCACAGTGCCCTTCCCCGGTTAACCCAACCCTAACCCAAACCCCCCAACCCTAACCGCCCGAACCGCCCCTGCTCCCATGCCTGGGTAGCGCGGCGCGCGATGGTGAGGAGGGAGGCCATTTCCTTCGTGAGGTTCCAATTGGCCGCCTGGCCCAAAGCCAGCTGCGGCCGCCCGGCATGGGAGACGTCCAAGGTGACGTCCAAGGTGGCGCTCAGCTCCTTCCAATGCCTCCCCCGCAAGTGTGGGTTTTGCAGCACCTGAGGGCCAGAAAGGGAAGGAAGGGAAGGAACCGCCCGCTCGACTTCTTCACTTTACACAGGTGCCGCCTCCAGCACCGGGATCAAGTCCTGCATGTACTTCAACCTGAAAAAAGAGACTCTGCCGAGAATTTGCTCGCGGCTTTGTTGGCTCCACGCAAGGACAGGCTCCCGGCTGGCTCTGCAGCTCCTCGAAGACAGCATTCTCCGGCAGATCGTGCTGGGCTGCATCTGCTTGCACCCACAAGCTCGTGACCTAAGGCCGGGCCGCGAGCCGCGAGCCAAGAGAGGCAGAGGCGAAGTGAGAGCTGAGAAAGCAGACGTCCTTGGACATGAGCATCAAGTCCACCAGAAGCAGATCCTCAGCCGGAGCAAAGAGCAGAGCAAAGAGCGGACGTTTTGTCGCAGCCAGGTCGCCGAAGGCAGCCACTCCTGGCCTTGCAAGGAGGCGGAGTGTCTCTCTCTGCTACGGGTGCCCACAGTTTCGGGACGCTAGTTTCGGGTCGGCTGCCGCGGTTTTCGGATCAGAGGGGGATAGTTTCGGCGCCCAGTGGCGCAGCGGGAGTCAGTGTCGCGAGACATGTGGGCAGTTTCCATCCGATTCGTATCCATTCTTGCAGGCCTGGCCCTCAAACTGACCATGGCGTGAGACCGAAACTGTCCCAGACCATGTTCCGAAACTCCGCCCCGAGACACGGCACCGAAACGAACCTCGAAAACGCTGAAACTCACGACTTCCATGCAACCACTTGGTACAAGAAAGACTGCACGTGAAACATACACAGAACGTGGAGCTAGCATAGAGCAGTATACAAAATCCTAGAGTCCTAGAGTCCCGACAGAGCAGCAAAGAGTGCAAAGATGGATAAAACTGCATCCCGCGTTCTCTGTCAAGGCACACTTCCTTTGCCAGTCTTCAAAAGTCCTCCAAAGATCCAAGCGCCTTTGCAGTTGCAGCCAGGCATCCCTGAGATCCTCGGCTAGAGTCGGCTCGAGGGCTGAAGGCTTTTGCTGGAGCTCCTGGCCAAGAGGCTGGTACCACCAGCCCGTCGCCTTTCAGTACCTCCTGTGCTGTGGGCACAGCATGGCACAGCTGCTCTCTCTCACAACTCTCTCTCTCTCTCTCTCTCTGCTCTCTGGGCCTGGTAGCTCTGGTAGAGCTCCTGGTCCTCTTGGAGCTTCCGCAGTGCCTCCTGCAAGGCTTCCAGCTCCCTCAGCTTCGAGGAGACCTCCACCGCGGACCTGAGAGCTGCACTCTTCCTCTCACTCTTCCTCTCACTCCTGGGCCCCTTGCCCTTTCCCTGCGAAGTCCTCAGAAGGAGCTCTGAAGCAGCAAGGGGGGTCTTTCTTGTGTTCGCTTTCGCTTGGCTCCCCAGCCGGAACGCAGCCTGCCGCCAAGGCCGGAGAGGTCAAGGACCTGACAAAAACTCAAGCTGCTGCTTTGCCTCGGTGACACGGGAAATCTCGGTGAAGGGCGCCGTCGAGGGCAGCTGCAACAACCCCGGATGCCTCACCTGCTCCTCTCAGAGAGCACAGATCGCTCTGCTCTCGCTCCGCTCTCGCTCTTCGCAACCTCCGCGGGCCTCGGAGGCGAAATCTTGGACCTTGGCCTCGAGGGCCGAGAGCTCCGCAGCGAAGCGCTCCAGAAACCCCTCCCGCTCCTCCACAACCTTGGACTCGACACATCTTGGCTTCAAAGACACATGGCAACAAAACTCTCGCTCTCGCCCTCTCTTCCCACAGAGAGACCTTCTCCTCCTTCTTCGCGAAGACGGCCTCGAAGTTGGCGAAGGACCGTGGCATGGAAGCCACTTTGGCCCGCAAGGTCGTGCTCAAGTAGACCCTCGCACAAAGAGGGCTCGACCCACAGCGCCCATCTTTGAACCCCACCATCTCGGGGGCCACCGGGGCCCGGGCCGGTGCTCCTCCAAGATCTCGTAAAGCCGTTGCATCCTTCCGAGGAGCTCGGCCTGGGTCCCCAAAGCGCCCCGCGTCTCCTGCGCTGCGACGACCCTTTTGGGTGGGGTCGGTGGGGTCTTCTGTGCACGTGTCGTTGTTCTGGCTGCGGCGGGTCCTCCAAGTTTTGGAGATCCGAGACGAACTCGGCCACGCAGCCGGGATGTCGAGAGAGCTGCCTCCGAGCCCAAAGCAACACCCGGCAACACCCTGGGCCGCCGCGGCGCTAGAGGCGCTAGGCCCGCCAGGCAGCTGGGCCTGGTCTTGTTGCCGATCCACTGCGAGAGCTCCTCCGCGCAGAGCAGCACCACCTGTTTTGCGAAGCGGCCGCGGTGTGTGATCATCATTGCAGAGAGACCGGACCCCGCGGCCTCCGGGAGCTTCTCCGCCAACTCGCTGAGACACCTCGAGCGGAGAAAAAGAGCGCCTTTTTGTTTGCCCCCCTTCTTTCTTTGGGCTCCGCGCCGCGCCGGGGCCTCTTTCAACTCGCTGAGCATGGCCACGATCCTGAAAAAGCCGTCACGCCATCGGAAGACCCGCTTCTCCAGGCCAAGGCGGCCAAGGTGCTCGATCTCCAAGGGCCGCAAGAAGTGCCGGCTCGACAACTTCTCGAAGCCTTGCAAACCTGCGAGAGCCGAGCCGTGACACTGCACCACATTGACACCGACCCTGTGCGGCGCCTTCCTTGTAGTCGCTCAAGATCTCTGCGAATTTGCTTACGGGTCCACAAAGCCAGATATCCTTGATGATGTCTGGGATCACAGCATTTTGGCACTCGTAGCACCATTTCAGGTTGCCATCGAGAACCCTTAACCTAAGAGGGCTGTGGCGCGTCGGAAAGCGTAGTTTCCAGAGCCAGTTTTCGCCAGGTGGCTTGGAGTCAGCTTCTCGAAAAGCCCTCCTCGCATCTCACGAGAGAAAAAACAGCCCCACAGAGCCGTAACCCTAAAGGCGCAGCCGCTCCTCAAGGTCTCCGAAAGGCGAAGGCAGCTCCGTTGCCAGCCTGCCTCAAAAGGAAGGAAAGGACGAAAGAAGAAGCGCCGCGGCGACGCGCCGCCGCCGGGGCTCCGGGCCTGGCCCTGCAAGCGCTCGAAGAGCAGCTCATCGGCTTCCCTCTCTTCCTCCTCAAACAGCACCCAGAACAACCCCTCAGACGTGTCTCTCTCTGCCCTCCCTCTCTTCCGCTCCTCCTCGTCCTTGACCTCGAGATTGCCCACACCAGCTCGGACCAGAAAACGATGAGCCACCAGATCCTCATGCAAATCTTTCGGCCCGCTTCCGCACAAGTTGCTCAGGCTGTCGGATGGGTTTGTCTGATGGACGTGGTTTCAAGACCACGCTCTTGGGGTTGGAGACTTACGCAATGAATATGTGTGTGTGTGTGTGCGTGCGTGCGTGCGTGCGTGCGTGCGTGCGTGCGTGCGTGCGTGCGTGCGCGTGCGCGTGCGCGTGTATCTATGTATGTATGTATGTATGTATGTATGTACGTATGTACGTATGTATGGTTGTTTGTTTGTCTGTTTGTTTGTTTGCGTTCGCGTTCGCGTTCGCGTTTGCGTTTGCGTTTGTGTGTGCGTGTGTTTGTGTTTTTGTGTGTCTGTACGTGTTATTGTTTTTGTTCGTGTCTCAATCGTGTTCGCACCCCTAAGTCGCTTTTCTCAAAGCAGCCAATGAATGAATCTCCTTCGCAGGCCGCAGCTGTCTCTCTGTGGCATGCTGCATCACAGGCACTCGTGAGGGAGAGAGGTCCCTTGTCGGTTACTTGTACAATAGGCTTTTACTTCCGATATCCTCCCACAGATGCGTAAAGGTCTTGCTGTCGAAAGTGTCATCCATGTCACCTGCACGCTTCTTTGCAGAGGACCTCTTGGCTTCTATCTCTGTGGGCCCAGCCTCGCGCGTGGAGGGCTCATACGCCTGGGAGCGTTTGCCAGAGGCCATTGTTCTTCGTCCAGGCAGGGGGTTGCTTGTTTGCTCTCCTTGGTCCTCGAAGCAAATCCATGATAAGTCCACATGCTGACAAAGCCCACTTGCTCGACACTATGGCCTCTGCTTGCAGCCTTCCCTTGCCACCCATGGTTTCGCACACTTCGTCAGGCCATGAATACCGATTGACTCTCCGCTGCCGTGTGCTGCACCTGGCAAGATCTAGTAAGGCAAGCAAGGCCTCAACATGAATATTTTTCTGTTGGCCGAGGCCAACATGCAGGACCGCTGGCGGCGGCCAGAGTTTATTTCAGGAATCAGGAATCAGACCCTTCCTGGTTTCATCCCCGGCAACGTCTTTCCAGGTCGGATGCCACCTGTGCAGCCGAGGAGGCAGCAGCCGAGTCCTGGGCGGCGCTTGCCAGCTTCCTGGGTGGTGCCGGAGCCCCGCAGTGTGCGCTTGAAGACAACTTGGAGTCTGCTCCAATGCTAGGCGTGCAAGAATGCTAACGGCTTCCCCAGCCGCACGGACGGGGACCTTCGGCGCCACGGGCTTGGGCCGAGCTGCAGGCTGCGCTCTGATGTGGTTAAGTCGGCACAGGCCCCGGCATAGTGAACTTCAAAGCCCTGCTGCGACCGCCAGCGGCTCAGTTTTCGCTTCGTGCTCTTAGCCCGCATCGGCTAGGCGATGAGTTGCTTCAAGATTCATTTTGAGTCATTTTGCAACGGCACTGTTGCTTTCTCAGTGCCATCTTCAGGGTGCTTATACTGTATTGGTTTCTCGTTAGGAGGCAGCCCGGAAAACTGTCCTTGAGGGTCAGTTATGCACTCCAGGTCAGTACTGTCCTTCTCGCAAACAGAGGAACATGAATGGCACTTACGGCTCTTCTGACTTGTCTTGGGTCGCCAACGGAGGTTGTTGTACGTTCCAGCATCTAGGACAGTTGGAAATCCAATTGCCCCAAACAGAGCCGATTGGCCTGAACAGAAAGCCTTTCACCCTCCAAACTCTCAACGGCGGTGCTGTCCTGGAAAGGCCAGGCGCCGTATGAGGGCCAATAGCCTTCAGATCAGGTCTAACGAGCCGGCGCTCCGCGATGTCGGCCGCGAGGCCTTCGCCCGGTCTCTTGTCAGGAGCCCAGGACAAGGGAGGAGCTCGCGGCTTGCTTTTCCTTTTGCGAGGGTCGGGACTCGAGACAGCCGGGAGTTCGGAGGCCGCCAGCGCTGCTGCAGAGGCGCGAGCTGGCGACGAGGCCGAGCCCCACTGCTGTGACGTCACTCTATGTCACTCTCTTTTTCTGAAATCATCATAACTTGTATGAATACAGGCACATACACATACACAGCATCTACTTAGTGGGGAAATATAGACCACGGAAGCGACCCTGCACGATGTACACGATGGACATCCAAAAGAAAGAATACTGTACCAGGATGTAGCCAATTGCAGCAAGCAAAAGGGCACACTCCTTAGCTGAGGCACAAGAGTGCCTTAGCTCCTGAGCGAATCGGGGAAATCTGAACGTCTCAGTCCCTAACCCAGCCGGAGCCCGACTCTTCTCAAGAAGGTCTGCAGGGAAGACAGAGCGCCTCTGTCTCTAAGACTATCAAAACACACACCATCACCGTCTCTTTGTTGCCGACAAGTCTGAAGACCTCAGTCCCAGAGGAGATCAAAAACTGTCGCCTCAGTCCCCTCAAAGGGGGAGCAGGCGCTACCGCCTCGCTGCAAGGCAAGTCTGACCCACGAGCGCCAGCCTCTATTCGTCTCTGCCTTTCCTAGCCCCATCACCAGATGGCCGGCCCATCCTTGACTGCAAGACATCGACGCATGTCGCGCAAGTCCGCAGAAAGGATTCCAGAAGATGGCACCACAATGCGGTGCCGAATCGGCGAAACTGCAGTATCAGTCACGACCGCAAACTCGTGTGAGGTCCAAGCTCTGCAGTGCAGGGCCTGGAGCCTACGCGGATCAGAAACACTCAACACAGGTTTCCTCCCACTAGCACCGTGCTTGAGAGAAAGAGTGGTGTTTCTTCAGCGCACCGTGCCTCCACCCCCATGTTTCAGGGATGTTTAACCCAACCGATGTTGCGAATGCCTTCACGAAGCGCACCAACCCAGCCCGAAGCGGCCCTAGCCCCAGTTCGCGTGATGCACCTGTGAATTCGATGGAAGCCGCCGTGCATGTGACCATGAAACGCACATCCCACTGATGCTGTTTGAGCATCTTAGCAAGGTGCATGCTAGACCGCTAGACTGCTTGGGAGTCTGAAGGACGGACTCACAAGCTTCCAAGCAGCTTCCCCGGCTTCGCACCAGCAAGCGAAGGCCTTTTCCAAAACCAACCGACGTGCTGGAAGGGGTACCCAAGTCCACGAATGGAGGGGCTGACTGCCTGTAGGAGGGAATGTCCCAGCGCAGGGAGCACCCTTCTGCCTTTGATCAATCTCACGAAGGCCTAACAGTGCATCATGGCATTGGCCTGTCGCCGCGTGAGGGCTTCCTAACTTGATGAATTGCGGCTGTGCATGCATGCATGCATGCATACACACACATCGTTGCTGGTATTGCTACTGCCACATTTACGTATGTTTCACTTTGTTGTGTGTCTGCTCCAGGTGGAGAGCCGGCTGGCGGCGCTTGCTGGCCTTGTAGCTCTTTTCGTGGACGAGATCAGGTGCTGCAGATTGCCGATGTCAGTTTTCATATGTTCGATGGCAGTGAAGATTACGGGCTTAATCGAAAGCACCCACCCAGGCAGTTGATGACAGCAGGTCTTAACCTAGGGTGGATGTTTTGAGCTGGGGAAGACCAGTCTTTTTCGCTCCAGAGTGGACGAGGCTCCCGGCCATGGCGCTGCTGGGAGCCGAGGCAAGTCTCCCCATGGCCACCGCTGATCAAAGCCCCTGTCTTCGAAGGAGGAGTTGCAGCTCATCGCGGCGAGTGCATACCTCAGCAGGCTGTGCAGTTGGATCCTGGGGTTCTCGGACATGTAAGGCGCTGCCGCTTGCAGCCCTTCCGGGGCGCTGGAGCTGGCAGGCGGGATCCGGTCCTTTTCTCAAGTTTCACGCTTACCACTTGAAGACTTGGTTGCTTGCAAATTTGTCCGGTGCGCAAGGCTGTGGGATCTTCGACAGCCGTGCGCCGCTATTCTGAACGAAGCAGACGAGCCTGAATCAGGCTGAATGAGGTCGCATAGTTTTTGCAGGATGCATACATGCTCATGCATTGCACATGAACATGCTGATCG